CGAACTGCCACTTAGAAATTTGATGTGACAGCTTGATGGAGTTACCCATGGCCCTCAAAGTTTTTCATGCCCGATCCCATAGGCCCTTTTGGCTGTAAATCATGTAATTATATGTGCTTTTCGGACCAATTTTGCTAGAACGTGATCCAACAACCCGTAAAACCTCTGCCACGATAGGGAATACCCCCTAGTGAGAAGCTACCATCATGCTCCCCCCCCCTGTTAGGCTAGCTAAGCACCCAGGTTTTGGACCTAAGTTCTTAGCAGTTGGACTTTCCACATCTCATTTCTTATGTTAATTGCACAGGTCTTGCACTGGGAGGTCCGAGATACAGCGTAAATAATAAAGGTGAGGGGGGTATCTAACACCCGCGGACAGGGCAAGACATCAATGAGCATCTTTTTTCTAAATATGGCAATCACAATGTTTCCTCAGTTCAAAGGAAGGTGTCCTCTTAAGTGAAAAAATGTTAGGTCATGCACTTAGATGATGAAACTTTGATTAATGGCCCATATTTGCGAGTTTAATTTGTATTTGTTTTTATAATTTAAATACAGAGTGACGATGTTCTTATTAAATAACAGTTATTTAATTTTCACTTAACTATACAGCTCAAGTGACAGCGGCAATCCTGTGGTCTCATTGTTCTAAAAATAGGGTTGCAATATTCGCGGTGGGCACAACACACATAGCCCTTTGTGTAGCGTAATGCTTAATAATCAACAAACAAACAAACATTCATTTCATCTTATTACACCTTTAACCAATGTAAATATAAAACTTTTTTGAATAATCTAATACATAAAACATTGTTTTGCAGTAATCTTTTAAACTGTACCTATAAAAGTATTAGTACTAATAACTTGTAAAAGACAATGACTTACACAACTGAAAAAGGATAATATTACAAGTTGTTAAAAATAATCTTACGGAATTGATAACTAATTTGTATCTGCATTTTACAATTTACTTTCATTAAGTTGCACGTTTGGGTAAATAACATATTAATAGCTATGTTTTAATTGTCTATTTTTCTTTTATTAGAAACTTGTTTATTTTGAATTTCGCGCAAAGCTACACGAGGGCTATCTGCGCTAGCCGTCCCTAATTTAGCTGTGTAAGACTAGAGGGAAGGCAGCTAGTCATCACCACCCACCGTCAACTCTTGGGCTACTCTTTTACCAACGAATAGTGGGATTGACCGTCACATTATAACGCCCCCACGGCTGAAAGGGCGAGCATGTTTGGTGTGACAGGGATTCGAACCCGCGACCCGCAGATTGCGAGTCGAGCGCCCTAACCACCTGACCATGCCGGGCCCTTTACTAGAAACATATATCTTTCTAGAATTGCCGAACGATAGCGAAATATATTCTGTGTTGCGCTCTAAGCTGAAGCTTCACACGTGTTTGTAACTTTATCTTTAACTTGAAATTACTTTTATACGTGAAATTTGCAAATAAATGGTAAACCTGACACAAGGTATAACCTACTTTACTTGTTTCGTGCATTCTGCTGTTGGATACAACGTTTCACTCTGTTGTTCAAGGCCAGTATAATTTTTCTGTCTTCACTTTGCACATGTTTATTTTCAGTCTGGATGTTGAAATTAGTATATTTCATCGACGTTACGTAGATCGTATTATATTTCAATACAGAGATCAGTTTTTAAATATATAGTTCTAATATAGAGCCTTCATTGAATAATATGAAATGTTTTTTATATTTCAAAAAAAAAAAGAAAGATTTTTCAAACTTTATTAAAAAGTGTATTAAAATGTTTACATTAAATACACATTAGTATTCTAGGTCACATCAATTATATCATGTCGTTTTGGTTCCATAACGAGTCAATGTAACCTTGGGTGACTAGCAGGAGACAGTACGACATGTAACTGAGCTGCTTTTTTTGTTATTATTATTATTTTGTAGTTTATACAAGTAGATGCCTATTTGTAACAGCAGACTATATGGAATAGTTTGAGTGATGTTCTATATTACTAGAATTAGGAGAATAAATTCAAATTATTATCAGTAAATATCAGATTTCATTACGCTCTTCATATTTATAATGTCATTTTTTTCGAACGTACCTTTATGAATAGAATACGTTCTGCCATTCCTACTTTGTGTATGTTGTAATGGTTTCCTGTGTGTTTCTCTCACCAGCTTTCCACGTTAACTAATCAAAAATGTTCTACATCCTATTGCAAAGAAACAATATAAATTCAGATTGCACAAAAGCACTTGTTAGGGTGATGTACTATCTGTAATTACTAGGAAGTTCCAGTAGTGAAATTCTCATCAAATGCGTGCCGGTACAAATATACACATACAATAAAGGATTTTGCCGACATATTCAATTTATAGTTTTACTAAAGGAAGCCGCCAGTGGATTAGCGGTATGTCTGCACTCTGCCGATGCTAAAAATCAAGTTTCCATACCCGTGGGCCCGGCATGGCCAGGTGATTAGGGCGCTCGACTAGCAATCTGTGGGTCGCGGGTTCGAATCCCGTTCACATCAAACATGCTCGCCCTTTCAG